AAAATTAAACCTATTTAGAGTTTTGTTCTTCTCTCCTATTTAACATATTTTCCTGATATTTTGCTGGTTTAATTGAACTTGTAGGGTCATTAAAAGCAAATACTCTCTCTGGACATCACTCTTTGCCTGTATGTGGATATATGCAAGCTCATGCATAAGCATGTCGTACAAAGAAACTATTGTCATCCAGCATGTCCACTCGATATAGAGGTGTTTACATGAGTCACATATATTCAGGTGGGAAGTTCTTTACCTTGGCATTGAGACCGTGATCCCAAACCATAGAGGGCATTCATGCCGTAGGCCCCTATGAAATATAATTTCCATCTTTACTTTAAAATAAGTCATTTATTTTCTATTTTGTCTTGCTGTACAGATCGCTCAGAAACATGTTACCAGGGAAAAGCTGTGTCTTGGTTTCATAGAGACCGCTTTATTTATTTACTGCGTGGAAGCTCTGTCCCAAATCGGAAAGCTGTCGGCACTCTGGGTTTCCCAAAAACGTAATCTCTTGTGGAAATGTCAGAGTTAACTCACAGAAAACAGACCGTTCTGCATTGTGCCTCTCAGACTTCCCATTCATACTCGCAAGAACGTGTCAACTGAGTGGTCATTGTTCGTGTCTGGCTTCCTCCAAAGCTCCTCGTCTTCTTCAGCTCACGAGCTTTCCTCCCACGCCTGCACCTCCGCCACAACCTTACGCAGGTCTGTGCGAGAGCTCCAACACCAAGGCTCTCGGGCCGATCACATGAGCTGGGATTTTAGCGCCACATCTGTTTTTTAAGCCAAGCTAAACTAATTGAACGGCATCGATTTGCAGTTCCTCACCACTGTTTGCTGAACATCATGTCCATGCACAGTATCCAGTCAGCAAATCTGGAGCGAGTACGTTTTGGTCTGCCATCACACAGCGGGTGGATGCAGAAAGGACTGGCGACGTAGCAAATTACCACTCCGTGTTTACGCAACAAAGCGTCTGCCCTGCAGAATATCTTGCCCTGACGCAAAAAAATCAAAAGCCCATGTCTGGAAATCTGAAGTACGGTGCAAAGCGGCATGGGTCCCTCTCCTCTCGCCAACAAAAACAACAATTACAAGCGACTCAGACGGCCCAGCTATGAAATAGGGCCTTGTTGCTGAGAAAAGCTAGCAATTAGGGAGCATTGTTCAGCAAGGAAAGCAGCTTTTATTATTTTCTTGGTCAGCTCGCCATGCCCCAAAGGTCTGAATGGACCTGAATACAACAACTTATTGATATCCACTGATGCTATATCAAGGTCAAAAGCAGGATAGGAGCGTTAATTTCACCGCTCTGTTGGATTCCATCCCCATTCCCCCCCTATCCCGACATCTGGCTTTGCATGGGAAGCTGGAAAACGTCTTTAATATTCTCATGACAGTCAGGACGACATATGGAAAACATTGTAATACCTTAATCTGCAATGCTTCTAAAAAGAAAGAGAGCGGCTGGCGGATAGATGCTTGGCTTTCTAATTTGTAGTTTTCAGAAGCTCTTCTGGGTACCCAAGACTCTTCGATATACATCACACACTCGTTTTACACACCTGCCAATAGCCAGTCGGAGCTCCTGCAGGGAATACGCTTTCTACTGATTTAAAGTGGGAGATCAGACCAAAATCTAAATTCTGTCATTAACACACCTTCATGTTGTTCCAAACTTCCCTTGGAACACAAAAGGTGAATTTTAGAAAGATGTCCTTGCCATGTCCTGAAATATCCATACGACTTGTGCTCTATATTCTAAGTCTTCTGAAGCCATCCGGTAACCTAATTATTTGGGGCTGTTATTGTTTTTTGTCAATCGCTGCTCGACAGCACAGTCATCTAGCGTCTAGCAAAGAGGTTGTTTTGTTGTCCTGGGCGTACTGTTTACTGTACAGCAGGTCAATGTTTTGGTTCATTTCATTTTAAATCATGCATTGTAAACACAAAGTGATCTAAGTTAACTCCATTTCCCAACCCAGGCTCATTGGGAAAACTTGTATGTGGTGACATTTCTGCACAATGATATTATGTTGCTTATTGCATGTTTTACAACATTTTCAAAGTGAAATGTCCCGTCAGTGGTGCTAAAAGCTTGTTCAGTTTTATTCAAAACATATCAACGTGCAACTTTTTACTATGTTGGTTGTTGTGTGTAAAAGGGACATGTCAGAAGCGGTGAGTGACACGTAAAAAACATTGTCCAAGCTCACAGGGAACGTTCTCAGAACTTACCTAACATTCTGGGCAAGTTTCTCTCAAAGTTATGAATAAACGTTCTTCCATTAACATTAACAGAATGTTCATTAAAAAATGATCTGGTCTTTATCCAAACATAAGCACAAAAGCATTATCTGGTTGCACTTTATTTTACAGTACATACACTTGTATGTTTACTTAACTAAGAAAGTACTGTGTAATATAAGGTAACTGCATGGGTTAAGGTTAGGTTTAGCAACAGGTTCAGGGTTAGTTGAAATGTTTTAGTTGGGCGTAACATTTTCTCTTTTTTTGATGCTACTTGTTTCAAAATGTGTTCAGAGAACATTAAAAAGTAAAGTTCCGATAATGTTAGCAAAATGATAACATTAAAAAAAAAAAAAAAGGATGTTTCAAAGAATGTTTTCTTAACTTATTAGAACATTTTTTTTTTTTGATTAGCTGGGGTTTTGCCTACACTAAACTCTACCCTAAACCTAACCAGTAGTGTTAAATGAGATAAAAACACATTTGCTGAAGCAAGCATGCCATTTTAGTTTGATTCTACAAGTCTTTGAGCTCTTTTATCATAACTTGTGTTTCAGTAATGTACCAGGTGAGCTAGAGAGCAAGTTTACCATGTTAGAAAAGCCATACAAATGGAGCTGGTTATGTGATCCATAAAATGGATCAGTTTACAAACCATGCACTATGGTAAATGTGTAACACCGTATTGTGCAAGAAACTGCTGAAAATCTTTTTTTAGTCGTTAATCTGACCTTGCAATCATAAATTGTGTAAAAAGGTGTAGAGTATAATTATAAATTTAATTACTAGGAATTAACAACACATTCTCACTATAGGGTTAGGGTCAGTTACATGTTATTATGCATCATTTACTGTCATTAGTACGTACATGTAACTGTTAAGTAAAATGTTACCAAAAATAAATAAAAGTTTTACTGCCACTATAGTGTTTATTTCAGGTGGAATCTGCTATAAATGTAATGTTTTACAAAAATGTAGGTAGAGGCAAAAAAAACCATTAATAGTTACAGGTTAGGTAATGATGGCATACAGAGAACGAGATCACTCGCTTATTTCATTTCTATATATTCTACGCTTTAGGCACCCTTTAGCGTCAGTTACATGACGCGATCCTAGGGCGTCATCTTACTGACGCTTTACCTAAGCGTCAGTTAGATGACGCGGGTAGGTTTAGGTCTGGGGTAGGGTTAGGATTAGATAGCGTCATCTAACTGACATTAAAGGGTGCCTAAAGCGTCGAATATTGAAGCATGGTCAAAATGATTCCCAAGGCGTCAGTTTCATGATGCCTAGGAATGAGAATGGGCTGTCTATGAAGATATTTATTGTTGTCGAAAACACAGAAATATATTCAGCACTAATAACAGCTTTGACTACCTTGTCAATATTGTGTGAATGAAATTAAGACATTAATAGTTAGGGCCACTATCCTGCAAGTTTATCTCCAGTCCTAATCAAACACCTGAAGAGATAATAAATGTCTTCAGGATCACTGGAAAACATATAGCACTCCGAAAACACCTGGCAAATATCGCTGAATTCAGAGTGTTGAAAATCCCAACACAAAACTACAAAGACTACAAAAAAGTGACTTCAGGCAAAAAGTGTGTTAGTAGAGTATGTAAGTTAAGCAACATATTCAGAGTTCTTAGTTTGCCATTGCCTTAGTCCAAAAATGTAACAACCCTGTACTCAAGTATTCAGTGTAATAGTAGTAGTACTAATAAAAGCTACAACAGTGAAAGTGTAAAAGACAATGGACTGAGACCCGGTCACAACTCATGTGAACCCAAATGTGATCTGAGCCCAGTTTGGTTCTTTTAAGGAGGACTTCAACTCATGTATCATAAACTGAGGGAGTCGTATCAGCAGCTTGACAGAGTTCAGTGAAGTTCATTGAAGTTTAGTAGTAGGCCTATGTCTAATCCTTTGCTTAGCAACATCTTCTGGGTGTTTGGTTAAGCGCTCCAACAAAAGCGCAGACGTGCAAAACTGGCCCAAAACGCATCATTAATTCTCATATGGAGGCCAGACACTCGTGGTCCACTGTAAAAAATGCCTTTTTTCCACACCCCGTTGAAAATCCACAATTACTCTGATTATGAACATTGTGCAATCCAACCTGCCGCTGTGCAAGTTCACGGAGACAGTAGACGCATTTACAGGTGATTATTTTTTCATATGTATGAGCTGTATTTATTCAGGACCACTGAAGACTGAGGCATTGTACTCAAGGTTAAACCATAGTGCCTCTGCGTGATTAACATTGAATTATTATTTCGCCTTGGGTTCAAACGGATCTCCCGTTTGCCAAAACCAAGTATCTTTCACATTAGCAAATCTGGTTTTGGAAAAGGGAGTGCTGTCCCACCAGAGGTCATTTACGATTGTTATTTCCCATTTTGTGCTCACATTCGACCCTGAAAGAACACATTTATTACATTAAAATAAATCTCCTCATTCACCCTCATGTTTTCTTTAATATGTGATTAATACCCAGGGTAGAATTACCCTAGCATCATATCCTGGTTCAAGTAATGCCTGGTTAAATGGGACTTCCAAGAAAAATGCGGTCCAATAGAAGGTACAGGTGCTCTATAATGTACCAGATGTTCTATATATATGCCAATCTCCAGGAAACTGAGTAACACGCAAATACCTTGAGATAATGGACACTATTGTTCTCAGGTTTTACACCCCTAGGTCTCGTCGGTTGGTTTTAACTGGCCTTCTTCGTTTGTGTTTGGCAGATGGGGGTTTCTGTGGTCGACTCCTCGGTCGCCGGCCTCGGAGGATGCCCGTATGCCAAGGGAGCGTCTGGCAATGTTTCTACAGAGGATGTTTTATATATGCTACATGGTCTTGGAATTGAAACCGTGAGTCTTGGTTTTCTATATTGATCATCAAGAATGTTACGTTAATAAACAACAGAACGTTTGGACACTTGAAGTGTACTGTCGCCAATATTCAACCTGCTTTGTATTGTTACAATATAGGTAGTATATGTAGGTAGTATATGTTGTGGGCTGACAGCTCCATGTCTTTCGTGAAAATTGCAGATTATACTTCCGCATGTTTGTATCCCAGCACCAGAAGAGTCGGATCAGCAGAGGGTTATTAACAGAACAGTTATTATAAAAGTAGGTTTATCATTGAAAAGTGTATTGTACTTTGTCTACTCCTTAAACAGCATTATGGCAAAAAATGATGGCAACAGCTTAAGGTCCTTGCACACTGAGTCCGAAATGTTCGTATGCGTTTTACCGTTTTCCTGATTCAGTGGCTCTGAATTGTCAAAACACCATTCAAACACCATTCAAACTGCTTGCTACGGATGCGAAAAACGCAGAAAATCGAACCTGATCCGATTTTTTTTATGACGGACGAAAGTTTCGGAGGCAGTGTGCACGCGTGATTGATATAACGTGAGTTCATATTTATTTTTTAACATGCGAACATTTCAGACGCGAATTTCGGACTCAGCGCCCTATTTTAACGATCTGAACATTTTTTTTACATCTTCATGGACACCACAATGATTTCCCTCATGTGTTAATATTTTTCCTTGTTATAATTCATGATTTGCAAAAATAAAAACTGCTGCATCTGTGTTGATGAGAGAATCAAAGTGTATGCGCGTTGTGCACCGCTACATTATGGCCAAGCATGCGCGCTTAAAATAACATTATGAACAACGCGCAACGCGCCACTGACTTTAGACTAGGCTTTTTCTGGTCAGTGGCGGAATTGTTTTCTGGAACTGCAAAATAACATGAGGGAAAGTTTGCGCCGGAACACGCCTCCTCTTTGCGCTGAACCGCCCAAGGAGCGCAAGTTCATTTCCTAGTTTACCGACGTGCGTCTGTGGAGGGAAAAGCCCGCTTTGCGCGGGTGCAAGATAGGGCCCTCAGTGTGCAAGGGCCTTTACATGCGTACAAACGCAACACGCGTTTTGATTAGCGGAACTGACGGAACGTTTTCCCCTCCGTTTATCCGTAAACTATGGAATCTTTTTCCGCCATAAAATAAAAAATAAAACGGTTAATTGCGACTTTATATCTCTCAATTCTGAGTTTTTGCCTCAGAATTTAGTAAAATCGCAGTTGTGAGATATAAAGTTGCAATTATCATTTAAATTGTTTTATTCTGAGGTTTTTCACATTTCCCGTCGGGGGCGTTCTCTCCGTATTACGATTCTTTGCAGCCTTTATCCGCTGCCTACAACACGCTGGATCCTTCACTGAAACTGAGAGTAACTCGCTCCCGTTAAACATTTACTCTTTGAATTCTTGCACCCGGGAACAATACAAGTCGACACCATTATGACTAAAAGTTTGCTAAGAAGTATTTTCTACTAAATGAAGGCGGTGTTTGACTCTGGTAAGCGTATCCATGGCGGACTGGTGGGAGTGGCCATGGACGGCAACGTGCCCAGTGCATTATGGGTATTGATGTTTTCCCACATATTTGACAAAAGGGAAGACAACAGCCTTCTTTCTCCGTTTTCTCTAGACGGATAGTTTTATTGAAAGCCCATTTTGCCAGTGTTGAAGTATATGCCCAAAAATTGTCTGAATGTCATTAGATGCAGAATAACCAAACAACTGGTATCAATCAAATGCTGGCATCAAACTGGAATCAAACAAATGGTTTCCACAAACTTTTTTTCATTTTCACTTTTCTGAGCTATTTTTGTAATGGTGATTTTTTTTGTGGATGTATGAGTCAGGCGGATGCATGAAGTTAGTGGATGTGTGCAAGCAGAGAAACCACAGGTGGAGTTCAGCACGTTAATCAAGTTCTACACATTTCTACAATTAGAAAGTGTCCTGATACTTTTTGGCATAATTTTCAGGCATGCATATTGTATAATTGTGAGACATTTTGCTTTTTAAAATAAATACCACTTGGTCTGATGTCTTGTTACATCATGCAAAGACATGCACAGGTTTGGCTTTTGTATCCACATACTTTCTGAGACCACACTATATGTTTATACACACACTTCGACTACACTCCCAGTTTTTCCATTACTCAGTTTTCCCTGTTGTCTCAAGAACATTTGAAGAAAATGTGGGAAATTGTTTTTGTCATATATATGCATGGGTGTGTGAGAGGGTGTCTGGAGGGCATTATTTGGTAAAATTGTGGATAACAGTCCTGATATACCTGATATTCTGGTGGCAGTAATTATGTTCTACAGTTTCTCCCACATGTTTTATCCACACCCTTTAACTGCCTCCTCTTTTTAATCCTCTCACAGATAACATCTCAGCAACACTAACCTCTGACTTCCAGTTTCTTTTGCTGTTGCGCCCCCTGGTGTCTACACCCGCTCAGCTGAGCCTGTTTGTGTTTGTGATGCAGGGGGTGGACCTGTTGAAGGTGATGGAAGCAGGAGATTTCATCTGCCGAGCCTTAAAGCGAACCAGTAACTCCAAGGTCAGCCAAGCTGCTATAAACATCTAGCCTCTTTATTCTGAGGAAAAATACGTACAGTGAAGCCCAAACGTCTAAGACCATATTGAACAACAGCAACAACAAACATTTTGGAAAAATAAAATAAAAAACAATGTGAAATGTAGAACAAATCTTTGATATTCTATGAGTGGGAGTATCCCAGCAAACGGGGAACATTTCTCAGAAATCTGGCTAATGTTGTTCTGGCAAGGTTTTCTCAAAGTTATGAACAAACGTTCTTCCAGTAATGTTAACAGCATGTTCGTCCAAAGTTATCTGTTCTTTAATAATGTTCGCACAAATCATTATTTATACATGGCTTGTAGAATGTTTTTTTTTTTTTTTTGAAACGATTTAGTTGGACTTTTGTCTAACGTTTCTTAAATGCTACTACTATTTGTTTTAGAATGTTCAGAGAAGATTCAAAAGTAACTTTCCCTTGAAGTTTGTAATAAAATGGAATGTTCCCTTAGTGTTCGTATAACCAAGAAAAAAAGGTTTTAAACACTTAAAAAAATATATATGTTTTGAACATTCAGAAACTAATGATTTCATAGCTTAATGGGAATATTAGCAAAACATAGAGTATATTTTTTCCATTTTAAGAGCTGCTGATGCAGTATTCAAATTAATAATATCTACTGTGTGTGTGTGTGTGTGTGTGTGTGTGTGTGTGTGTGTGTGTGTGCATTTTACACCAAAGAAATGAGCCACTGCCTTTCCTGTCAAAAAGAAAATAGATGGCCAAGATAATATCCCCCATTTATACATGATATGAGGCTCATTACCCCCTGTAAGAGTAAATCCTTTTTTTTCATGATTCATATCCTGCTCAATACAGTACAATTCAGCAGAGAGAGAGAGTGTGTAAATTAGATTTATTATCTTTCCCATCATGTACTGTCATGTTCACAGTATTAGCAAAAAAAATCTACAGCAATATGATAAGACATAAGTATTAAATCTGTACGTTTATTAATATTAATAACTATAATAATGTATTCTTCAGCCTGCATATGCTGCTTTAAATCTTATTATGTGCAGCCATATCAGCACTTCAAATATACTGCAAGTTGGAACTATAAAAGTCACTTTATAAATGTGTAGTGCAAATCATTTGAGCGTTAACAATGTCTGATTAATATCTGGAAATGTTCCTTAAAGCCGTCTTGGTACTAAATTGCTCATTCCTGTCTTTGTACTAACATCATATATCTTTACCAATATCTTTTCCAACTTTTTAACCTGCCTTGCTATAGTTGGACACGTTTGGAAGCCATCGTTTCTTTTGTTTGTAAAGGCTGCATGTATATATGTTAAGTGATTTGGTGAATAAAACAATTTTAAGACATTCATGAGTCTGCCTACTTTTGACTGACAGCTTGCATCTCTATATTTCTTTAGATCTAGTTTAAATACAGGTGGGATGTACTCTGAGCAAACATGTTTGACTTGATCTCTCGCGGGCTATAATTTACCCTTCTCTCCTTGCCATGTTTATCAAGGGCTCTAATTGTTTTGGGTGAGTGTTAAACCAGCTCTCTGTTTGCCTGTATATTGCTTATATCTGAGAAGGTAATAGATATTCAGCCTTTTTTACTCTCAGCTGTATACAAGCGAAACATATAGACACAGCTGTTTATGATTTAACAAGTGAAGGCAGGGCCAACCCTATTATTGACATAGCAAATTGATGTGTACATTTCTTTTTTTTTTGTTTCACACCTGTCCTCTTCTTAATTTTCTGCCCAAGTGTAGGGTTGGGTATCAAGAACCGGTTACAAATTTCCAAGAACTGGGGATTCGATAAGACACGCACATTTCGATTTTGTTTAACGATTCCCGTGTTTGCATTTTAATGTGATTTTAAGCGTTCAAGAGAACAGTTTGGCACTAGCTCGAAATTGAGTTCTCTTTCGCATCTTCGTGTGATCGAACAGACACATATGCACAAAATTATTGTCAAAATATCCTCGTAAACACAGTCGGTTTTGTCTTAAGCAAACGTACAAAGTGGAGGGGAAAAACGCATGTGTAACAGTATGTTGGATCCGTGCATTCAGTCTTAAAGTGACAGCAGCCTAATAAACCTGCTGCCATCTGCATTCATGATTTTGAATCAAAGAACAAAAGAAAACCACTCCCTGTTCTTGACTGAATAGCTTTTTAACTTTATAAAAGATTAATCTATATTTTATTAATAAAATAAAAGTCCTGTTATTTTAAATTTGATTTTTTTTATTTTTTTTTTTATACCTGAACTTTTGTTTTAACCTTTAGTAATCCCTGAGGTGCAATTTATTTTTAGGCACACAGAGTTAATCGGAAAGGCACAAAGAGATAAGGTAAGAGTTTACTTGCTGCCTGTATATATAATGCATTTCAAAAAATATGCATCCCAGTGTATTAATGTTATCATGAATACAATTGTTATTTTTGCCTATAACTTTGAACAGCACAAAACACATTTCATTTGTTATATATTATACTGCATTACTATCTTACAAATTGTAACCATGAATAGATAATAGAAACTTAATCTTAAATGTTAATCTTAGATGTAAATATAAGTCGTGTATTATTAAAAAAATCTTTATAAAAGCATACAGACTTGAGAATAGTTTATTGCAACAACACTTGTGTTTATTTCATTATACATTCTATGTATAATAATATGCAAATATAAATGAGTTAATGAAAAAAGCATGTTCATCTTCAACACTGTTAAACCCTTCGTGATAAAAGTTTAACCATGAGGGGTAAGACAACGGCTTTGGTGAAACGCCTCATTAATGTCTGTGGTGAAGTTCCTAATGGTGATTTAGTGTGCTCCTGACACTGGGGTTCAGGAAACACATCATTAGACTTAAACACATCTGGATCGAGGTGTCGAGTGTCGGCAGGAAAGGAGACAAGACAGACTGATGTACCCTGATGAATATCACATGGGCTGAAGAAGACTAGAACATGTATGACCTCTTTCCTCATGCTGGATATTCATCTTCCATAACTTAATAAAGTTGAATGAGAGAACTGACATTAGAGACTCTAATCTAAACGTTGCTCATTAACACTTTATTTATAGTTTAAGCCCTGAAACAGAACCAGAGAAGCACATTACAAACAATTGTCTATGCTGAACTATACTGAATTACACAAAGCATAACTTGTTTATTACTTGAGAGTACAACTAATTTATTATAAACTCATGATTGCACTTAATTTAAAGTTTTTTTGGTTCTACGGTACGTTTCCTTTAAGTTACGGAAGTGATAAAGTCAGCGTTGGAAGTTGAACATGTTGGCAGCTTGGTTTAACTACAGTGTGCAAAGTATCAGAAATATCACTACCAGAATTTTATAAAAGCTCTCAAATAATAACAGATGACAACGTTAGAGACTTCGACTGATGGGCCTCAAAAGTTGGTTTACCAGCAGCTTGGTGTATTCTCCTTAAAATAAAGGCAAAAAAATCATTAATAATTACTATGTCATATAGAATTTACTAAAGAATATTCGGTAACGCTTTAGATTACAGCCCGGAAAGTACTGTGTAATTAAGAGCAATTTACAGATTAACTTTCTGTAATTATAGTGTACCTATAAAGTACTTACATGCAAGTATAAGGGAACAATATGTAAAGTTTGGGGAATAAAGGGGTAACAACCAGGAGAATTAAAAAAATATTTATACTGTAAGTATTATAGAACTAAGGGGAACTTATTCTACTATTATGATACAACAATCTTACATTTGGGAGCAATTTAGCGAGAACACACACTGCGTACCTTTTTGTAATAATTGTGTACCAAGGCAATACATACTGTATAGGCTTTTTAAAAATGACAGGGTACATATCTATGCATTTATACTTTTTTTTTTTTTTTTTTTTGATAGCAAAAGTGCAGATGTTTAAGTTTGGGCTAACATGTTTCAAGGCAAGAAAAGCTAAGACTATTGCAATTTTTTTAAATACTGGGAAATAAATCTGGTTTCATGTGGTTACAGGGTAAGTGGTGCTTGTATAATAAATAAAGGTTTCCGAGTCAGTGATATAAGATTGTGTGTATGCGCATTTTTATTGTTACCCTGTAACTACATGAAACAAGAGGGTAACAAGCACCACTACATGAAACAAGAGTATCTTTCCCCAATATTTAAGCAAAAGTTGCAATAGTTTTCGTTTTCAGTGCACTTTTGTTAAAAAGATTACATTTGAAAAATTACAGGGTACATATCTATTATATCTATTTAAAAAGCCTATACAGTATGTACTGGTTCACCATTATTTCAATAAGGTACGCAGTGTATGTTCTTGCTAAATTGATCACAAATGTAAGATTGTTGTATCATAATAGTAGAATAAGTTCCCCTTAGTTCTATAATACTCACAATATTAATAATTTTTTAATTCTCCTGGTTGTTACCCCTTTATTCCCCAAACTTAAAATATTGTTCCCTTATACTCAGGCCCGCCGACAGGGGGGGACAAACGGGTCTGTTGTCCCGGGCCCAGGGTAGGGAGGGGGGCCCAGTACTGGGCCCTCATTAAATTATGGAATAATTGTAAAAAAAAAAAAAAAAAATAGGCATATTTGTTGAAAAATATCTAATATTTGAGTTACATAAAAGCTTTTTATTCGTTTTCTTCCTAATTGTCCTTGAAATAGTGGTCAAGAACCCCCCCCCCCCCCCCCCCCCCAAAACAAAAATGGTTTGGCCACTGATCGAAATATGATGTTGTCATTTGATTTGAAGTTCAGTAGGCTAACGTTACGCTCAAAATGTCCGGTCAGCACAAGTCCGGTGCTCAGAAAAGAAAAGAAAAGAAAAGAGAAGAAGAAAATAGAGGCCTTCGAGATGTCCTAAACAAATATTTTTAAAAAGGTGGTGACGGTGAAGCTGGAACTAACGTGATGACGAGGAAGTATTAGCAAAGAATTCATTGATTTCTAGCCCTTGGATTAGCTTTACTACTATGGAGATGAGAAATAAAAAGCCGGCTGAAATGCATCACTGTCATCATCGGTGAACAGATAATGGGTCAGATCCGAGTCTATTTTTGCTGTGCTGCTCATGCTTAAAAGTGAAAGCACACTTTTGATGGACAAAAAATAAATATGATTTCACACAAAAAGTGCCCAAAATGCACAGATTTTGCATGTCTAGTGTGTTTTAACAAGAACTGCAGTAGGCTATGTCAGAAAAGAAAATGAAGACATTTATAGAAAATGTACCTATTTAAACGTGTTTTTATTATTCATTTTGGGTAAAAGTATATGGTGTTTTATAAAAATAAAAAAAATCGTGGGGGGGCCCCATCTAAGATTATCTTGTCCCGGGCCCAGACAAGACTGTCAGCTGGCCTGCTTATACTTATATTGTAAGTACGTTATAGGTACACTATAATACACTCTAAAAATGCTGGGTTGTTTCAACCCAAATTTGGGTCAAATATGGACAAACCCAAATGTTGGGTTAAAAATGTAATTAAAAACTTTACAGTTGAAAGTGAAAGTTGAAGTTGGGTTAAAATTTTAAATTACATTTTTAACCCAACATTTGGGTTTGTCCATATTTGACCCAAATTTGGGTTGAAACAACCCAGCATTTTTTAGAGTGTACCGAAGGTTACGCTGTAAAATTGCTTTAATTACCCAGTACTTTCCGGGCTGTAATCTAAAGCGTTACCGAATATTCTCTACATTAGTTTAATGCATTATGATGCACACAAAATTATAAAAACTTACCTCAGTCTGAGCAAAAGCAGGCTGACAACGAGCAACACCACTACCGTTAATGCAGAGACATATATCAGTAGGTGCAACAGTTGATCTGGTATACACAAAGACAATATGTTTCATTACATCAGTAATGAAAAAGGAAAAGTGCATGTTTACGGCAAAATCCCACTTTTTAAGTGAATCAACTCACCGCTCAACCACTGCTGCTTAACCCTTGATTCATTGGTTGGTTGTTGCCCTTTGCCTAAATCGTCGGATTGTCCATGTTGGACAGTTTCTCCACCTAACCACTGCTGATCAGCGCTTGGCTCATTGGTTGGTTGTCGCTTCATGTTTGATTCTCCATGTCGGAAATTTTCTTTGGCTTTTGAGAGCTCTGCGATTTGAGTGGTTAAATCAGAACACATCAATCACAACGAGACTATGCCAGCAATGCTTCAAGATGAATACAACTGCACAGATAAACTAGCCAACGACCTCTGAAAGTACTTACTGAAGAAGGACTTGTCTTGGAAAATTTGTTTCAGCTCATTGCACTTATATTCGTCATGATGACGTAATCCATCACAAGTACATGGGTGATGAAGTATTGAGCCCATTGTTTCCACAAATGCCACCCTGCATTGGAGGTCTTCCCCAATAAAGTTGTCATGGTTTATAAGATTTAGCCATTCACTGGGCGAATCATGTGCAGCGTCCTCTTCCCCAAAACACTTGGACAGGTACCTGTTAAATATCTGCCTGGGAATAGCAAAGAGTTGGTTTTTATCAGCAGCATCATCCAGCTTACATAAAAGTTCTCCAGTCAACCGGAAAGACCATGCTTATCAACCAGCTTCATCATCTGGGCTATACAGCACATCTGAATATTTCACGATTTGGCAAATTTGTGGCAAATCTTTACAAACTCGTCTCTGCTCATGCACCCCTAAGAGTCACGTTTTATCTACATTTTGTACGTTTGAATCCTAGCCCAGGCCAGAATGTAAATCCATGTTGGTCTTTTCAGCAAAGAAACATGATTTACACAACTATGAAAAGAATCAACCAAAGACGAATGGGACATGGCATTTTTGCAACAATTTTAAAACAGTGCAAGCAGCATTAATCTGCCAATAGAGATTGTATGTGTATGTGTCTTTTGATTTCTGAACTCGTTTCATCTCACACTCTCTGGCCACATTGGACTCTACTGTGTGTAGTGAATCATATACTAGTAAACACTGACCCGCCAACTAGTGCTTTTCTGGATGACTTACTCAATTGAATCTTTTTCACAATAGATATTGTTCCAATGCTGCAATGAAATCCAAAGTAAATGCTAAAGGAAACTTCCTAAGATGCTTAAAGGAGAACTCCGGCGCAAAATGAACCTTTGGTCTAATTACACATTGTTACCTAGTCAACCGTTATCTGAGATTTGTTTTAATGATTATCGAATGTAAATAGTTTTATCTCTAAAAACAGTTTAGCCTATAAAGCTAGTATAACGGTAGTATATTGGGCATAGATCAATGACAAATAAAAATCGCTTGTTAATACCACTAACAAGGCTGAAAATAGCCCCACACTAACACGGTAGCATAATGAGGGTCCCTACCTTCAAACCGAAGCATTGAGAACTTTGTCAGTGTCCAGACAGTTTAATAAGAAGATATTTTTTACATACAGTCAACTTCGCGTATACAGACAGGAGCCATCTTTGAAAAAGAGTCTCTACCAGTCGATCTACGAACGCCGATCCAAGCCTGCTGTTCGCGCTCACCTTATCACAACTTATAGCTCGTTCACATCTCACCAGCGCACTTGGATCGGCGTTCGTAGATCAACTGGTAGAGACTCTTTTTCAAAGATGGCTCCTGTCTGTATACGCGAAGTTGACTGTATGTAAAAAATATCTTCTTATTAAACTGTCTGGACACTTACAAAGTTCTCAATGCTTCGGTTTGAAGGTAGGGACCCTCATTATGCTACCGTGTTAGTGTGGGGCTATTTTCAGCCTTGTTAGTGGTATTAACAAGCGATTTTTATTTGTCATTGATCTATGCCCAATATACTAGCGTTATACTAGCTTTATAGGCTAAACTGTTTTTAGAGATAAAACTATTTACATTCGATAATCATGAAAACAAATCTCAGGGAACGGTTGACTAGGTAACAATGCGTAATAGGACCAAAGGTTCATTTTGCGCCGGAGTTCTCCTTTAAGTAGACGAGGAAGAGCGAGATGTCACATCCATACTTTATAGAACACACTTTTGTAGTGGTCGCAAAGTAAATACACTTTCACAATAAGTACCTATAGTCAGAGAGTATGAGATTTCAGACGCAGCCTTTGAGTGTTTGCTCAACTCAACCCTACTTTGAGGAACATCTATGGCTCTACAGCTCAATGGAAGTAGAATATATTTTGAAATCCTACATTCGTTATCATCGTGAATTGTGCATTTTGTTATGCGTTTTGAATATTTGTATTCTTTTGGACTCGTTCATCAGTCATTAAAGGACACTTCATCTGGACTATGGTTTGAGCTTGTGTTATACTCCTTTGTGGAAGATTTCCTTCTTATGGTTTTGAACATTTCTTGTTGAATTTCTACAGTACAACGGTTGATCTGTTGGAATACTGATAAATCATCACCTCTTACCTGAAATACCTCGGATTGGGGAGAAATTGACTATATTTCAGCCTGGATTCAAACTTGTTGTGGTTTGACTGAAATGCTCTAAAATACTAAAATTGTGAATTTTCTTTTGGTCCATTTTAGACATTCAATTAACTCTAAGTTTGCAACTACATGTCAACTAACTCTCATTAGAGTATTAGTAGACTGTTATGGTTAGAGGAAAAAGTTGACATTTACTTGCAAAGTTACATCTAGTCAGTGAAATGTCTGTTTGGAGCATCACAAGAAAGTGTTTAGCAGATATTAAGCAGACAGTCTACTAATACTCTAATGACGGCTAGTTGACATGTACAGTAGTTGCAAAGTTACTTAGTTGGTAGAAAGTCTAAAGTGGACTATCGAAATAACTTGGCATCCCAAAATGTGACTTGTAAACTTAGGGGTGAAGAACTATAATCAGAAAAGGTGTGTAACAATATATCGCAATACAAAAATGCAACAAAATGTATCGTGGACAGTGACAATATGTATTGTGTATAGTTCACCCAGAATGAATATTACTGTGTGTGTAAAAATTCAAGTTTTCAGAGTTTTAGTGTCAGTACTACATTAAACTATTATATATAATGTTGAATATAATGTATAATAATGCAATGGGGGGATATTTGTGTGTCCTGATAATGCCAGATGTCTGATGTTACCAGTAAAAGTGGCCGACATTATTTTAAATATATCTAGTCAGTGACAGAGAAAGCATATTTGTCTAAAATAATTCAGCTTCAGAATCATGAATATTGTTATTCTGGTGTCTCTATTGTCCTGTGCCTTGGGTTTCCAGCACCAAGTCCATCCTATACACACACAATGTAATATCAAATTTAGCACTTTAATCAACAGTTCATTTTTTGTTAACCTTTTACCATATGTCTTGGAGTATTGCATTAATATCGTATTGTGAGCTCAGTATCGTGATATGTATCGAATCGTGACATGAGGGTCTCGTTACACCCCTAGTTGATAGAAATGCAGTTATGAACATATCCAAGTGTAAATCATGTTGTTGATGATTTGCCATCAGTGTTCAGGGCTCACCTGCACGATGCATCTCCAGAACACCTGTCCAGCGCCTCCAGGCAGGTCCAGGGAGTCTGTGACGGGTCGCTCGCACAGGATCCAGAGTGTAGAGACGCCTTCATCTGCTGGCACTCCTGGTCTTCTCCATCACAGTCACAGAACACCAGTCTCTCCGCCACATCGTGAGGAAGAGCCGAGTAGAACTGCCTCGTAGCCTGTCTGCACTGGCTGAGGTTGCATTGGTATGCGTTACACTCCTGGACAAACGGCACCATCCGTCGGTTGCAGGACTCCTCCTCAAGACAAGCCTTCGTCTCCTCAAGACAGGATCTGCTTGTGTGGTGTACTGGATCGAGGGTATGAGAGTAGTGTTGTCAAAAGTACTGACTTCGGTACCAAGTTGGCACTGAAATTTAAAAAATGTGACTCTTTGAGCGCTGTTGAGCAGAAGTAGCCTGGCAAGCCAGGCCTACATCAAGATGTTAGGTCTTGGAACTCTCCATTGACATGCCTCAATCCGAGGGGCGGGATAAACGGTTGTCTTTCAATATCTCTCGGCACGCAATGGGATAACGCTACAACCAACCAGAGCAACGAACGGCTGTGGCTGAGTGAGTCCCATGCGTTTTTCCACCAGTGAACCAGCTAGTTGGTATATTAAACTTTTGCCGTATCCGGTCGTCAAAACTCTGAACACATCTTCCTTTTTTAGGAATGACTTAAGTGACGTTCTCTTAACTCCAAGTCCTCCAGAGTCGCGGGCAAGGCCGATTCGAAAGACCGCTGTTCGCCAGCAGCATCTTCTTTGTTTTCAAGCAGAGGGAAATCACCTATTGAAATCACGCGGAACCGTCATAACTCTGCCGTCATTATGTTAAGCCCGCCCACCAACTCTACACGATCTGATTGGCCGGACCAGTTTTTGGTTTTTCCAGCTCGAAAGTCTATGGAGAGTTGCTAGACCACACTTTGCTGCAAAATAATTTTTGCTGCCGCTAGGGTGCGTCTAGATTTCTAGGCTAGAGCAGAAGCATAAACACCTCTGATTGGCCATTGTGTTCACACGCTCATCGGATTTGTCTGTGATTGGCTACAATGAACAGCGCTTCAAAAACATGTTGTAAATATACATCAATGTCGCTCTTCACTGAGCGCTTACACAGACACACACGGGAGTGTTTGAAAGCAGGACCGGTCCGCTGATAGACGCCTGCTTGTGCTTCCAAACACTCTCAAACACTTCTGTGCGCTGATCATTGTAGCCAATCACAGACATATCCGATGAGCTTGTGAACGCAATGGCCAATCAGAGGTGTTTATGATTCTGCTCAACAGCGCTCAAAGAGCCACATTTTTATCATTTCAGTAACGACTTGGTATCGAAGTCAGTACTTTTGACAACTCTTGAGGAGAGCAAAAGGCTTTGGTGCTCTATATACAGAACGATATCTTACCACTGGCTTTCCATTCTGTCTCAGGTTTCTTGTTTTTTTGAGCTGGAAAACATTAAAGGAAACATTAGAGTTCTGTCAGAATTTACTCGCCCTCATGCCATTCCAACCCTGTATGTAAGTCCTTATTCACAAAAAAATTCCCTTTTGCCAAAGCTCAGAATTCTTCTGAATTAAAAATGATCCAGCGACGCATCGCACCAGGTAAATTGAGTTCTGTTCCTTGGAATAGGAACTTGGAACATCCCGGGAACAGGAAACATTCCCATAACTTCTAACTAAAGTATTTTAAAGGTTATGTAAATGTTAGGACAAAACATTCTTAAACTTATGTTTTGATAGATTGGAATGTTCCTTTAACATAAAGAGGAAACTTTTTAATACATATAAATAAATAAAAAACATGGGACGTTTTGAAAGTTTAAAAACAATTGAACAGAACTAACTTTTCATAACTTAATGGGAATGTTAACAAACATGTCTTAGAACATGCTTTTGTTAGCTGGGATAGTGCCAAAAAGTCATTGTGATTACTTTGTTTTTGTAACGGTGCAGGCAGGAATGAAGCGGAGAGTGAATCCAATCGCAAGCACTTTAATAAACAAACAACTAGGTAATCCAGGGTACACGACAGAACAGGAACCGAGAACAAGGAGAAAACAGCAAACGTTACAACAACTAAAACACAGGGCTTAAATACAAGGGAACACAAGCTAAACAAGATAACAAGGGGGCGTGGTTAAACTGAAACACCTGGGAAGACTAATCAACATACCGGGGAACAGCTGAACATGGGACAAGACACATGGCAGGATCACATGACAAACAGGGAATCACATGACAGACAAGAACAAGGGACAAGACACAAAACCCACACCGTGACAGTTTTATGATACTTTCATGATTACTTTTTATTTTTAATTTTGTGTCCTTTTGGGGGCTTGACAGCCATATAGTCACTTTAATTTGTATGGAGAAGAGTTGAATGCAGATCCTTCAAAAAGATTTTCTGAGTGAATTTGCCAGATTGAATCTTTTTTCAAAGAGTCCAAGCCGAAACTCAATAGCTTGTTTTCATATGACGTCACGCCACAGCGTTGCCATGGCGCGAAATGCAAATGGAGGGCAGGAAGTGATTTGCTGTATTTAGAAAGCACTATAACAAACTCAAAATGCCTATGTTTTGCGTCGTTTATGGTTACTTAAATCGATCAAACCACGAGGAGTTTTTATCGTGTACCAAAAGTTGTTGTTCATAAGTGGGGGAAATGCAAGAAATTGACCGAAAAACTCCGGGAAAACGGCTTGCAAACCTACATCTGCGATCGGGAGGAGCCGAATGGGAAAATGCCCGTGTGTGCAGTGATCACTTCGTCAAAGGTGAGTTAATACAACTTAAGTGGCTGTGTTTGTGTAACGTTTAACATTTCCGAACTTTGTAAAGTCAAAGTATGTCTGTAAGACGAGGTAGTTGCTGATATCTACCGCCTCGATGGCAGGAAAATCTTTCAATTTAGTTGAAAAATCGCTCCTCTTCATAACGTAAGGATCACGTCTAACATAGGTTTGATTTTTTGTTTATATCTTTCTCTTGTAATAGCGTGTAAAGTAGTACAGTACTGACTTTCCTCCATCTCGTCCATTGCGCTCTTCACTCCCTGCCCTCCATCTGAATTTCGCGCGTCATCATAATCACCTGACTGAAACCCAGCTATTACCACAGACAACAACTCAACCCTCAGTTAGTAAAAATCACATTTACAGTAATGCACTTACAATAGATGCACATTTCACTGAAGTTGCATATCATAACTGCTCAATATGGACAATAAGGTGTAAAAAAAAGAAAAAAAAAAAGATTAATTTCTGTAAATCTGCTTTGAAACCATGTAAAGACATACAAAGACATGTAAATAACACTGACTTGACTTGGACTTGCACATTAAATACACATTAAGTTTTAGACTTAAGTGCATTATGACATGTTTTGTTTTTCCAAACTGAGGAAATTGAGTGAAATTGTTGCTGTCTGTATAGAGCTTAGCTTGTTTCATATTTCCATGATTGATGTTGCAGTGTTTAATGTATGTGGTAGTGTATACCCAAGCGATGCTGGCACTGAGAGTACAGCTGTTGTAGAGCTCGGCATGGATCCGGCCCAGAACACACACACTCTCCCAGCGCCGGCGAGCGGCTCGACATCATCTGAAGGGTGGCGTTACAGAGCCTTGCGTCAGTCGTGTGGCAGCCATCTTTACACACGGATACAAGCAGACGCACTTTCAACATGACAGCTTTGACATGAGTGAACTCTATTCATCTGGATCACACAATGCACTCATCAATTTTTAATAGCTATTGTATGTGCTGCAATACTGATTGTTTCTCAAGCCTTTAATCCTTTAATTGAGCTGCATAATTATCTATGATTTCTAAAGTGCCCTGTGGTCTTCCAAAACCATTATTACGGTCAGATGTTAAAATGTATCAACATGACAGTCAATATCACATGCGAATATGGACTGATGATCTCATAAATTGTTATTCCGTTTGCTTCCCCGAGGCCAATATGTTTCTTTCTCTCTCTCTAACACAACACACACACACTCAAGCACAACCAACAAACAACTTCAACGTGCCCTCAAGCCAGTCCTTTTCCCTTCCTCGATGCACATACGGCCCCAGTTTGAGGTGTGCAGTTTGCTCAAGGCTATTGCGCTTTAATCCAGTTACTGCCAACACACTGACGGGACGTTTCACAGGAGGAGACAGGGATCGGCATTAACACAGGTTAATAAATGTTGTAATAATATATTTCTCATACAGTAGTTAGTTCAGGTTAACAAATGCATTAACTAATGTTAGCAAATAGGACTTTATCGTAAAGTGTTCTCATAGTTGAATATCTCAGAATAACCCAATTCAGTAGAAATAATAGATTTATTGTGGTTAATAGTATAGCGTGTTGTATCAGTGTTATTTTAGTATAACTGAGATACTAAAGTAGTTTCTTAATAATATTTAGATTTAGTTTGTGTTTTTATCATTTTTAGGAGTTTAAAATATATATATATATGTCTATATAGTTTTATTTCTAGTACATCCAGTTAAACCAAATTAAAATGAGAAATGTTGCTTTGGCAAGTAGTTGAAAAAAAAATCTAAAGTGTTTTATATTTTATTTCAAGAACGATTTTTTTAATGGTTTTACTTTTACGTTTGTTTGTTGTGTGTATGTAGAAATAATGTTCAAATGTGCTATAAATGATTTATTAATCTCTCACTCAAACGTTACACCAGTGTCCCAACATCCCCCTCTCGCCTCAGAAGCTTTTCATTTTTAATGCTTTGACAAAATCAACTAGTATGAATCAAGACGGCAAACATTTAGTTTAGTTTTTGTGACGGCACAGTTATTAACCCCACGACACCCAGCCCCGGTCCTATCCCATTAAACAAGGAATTGTTTGCATTATGGATGGCATTCTGTTTGCTTCAGAGAAGTTTAAATGAGAAACCTGTACCTTTATAATTACAGACATCTCTGAGGACAGCCTGTTCACTTCTGCAGATGCGTTTAGAAACACAAGCGTCCATATGTGAAGTGCAGTCTGTAGTTCTTGATGTGTTAATGGAAATTAGCTGGAACAGCAGATGACACGCTGGAACAGAAAATAACATTCATAATTACCTTACCCTTAATGCAACGAGAAACAACATCTATCTGTTCTGGAGGCATCAAGAGTAATGTAAAAATGTCCCCTTTGAAACCATTGTTAGGTATATGCATGACAAACTGACATGGCTTTCAGAGTGTGCTTGTATTTGATGCGTCCCGTTTGCTTCAATGACAGCAACACAAAAGCTCATGATCTTTATCATCCATTATAATTCGAGAGCGTTATAAAAGCATCTTTATCTTTGGTGCACTGAGGAAAATAATGGTGTGGGATTTAGGAAACAATTTTCACTTCAGAAACTGCTTGTAAATTTAATAAATAACAAAGAAAAGGCAAGTACAACATTGAATTAAACATGACTTTTTGAAAGACTGATATAGTATTTCTGTGTAAAACGTATTCCAATAAACTTTACAATGTTGAAGAAAGGGAATCAGATGTTTTCCGTGTCAAACTTTCTTACATTTTCTGCTGAAACTTTCTTTCTTTCTTTCTTTCTTTCTTTCTTTCTTTCTTTCTTTCTTTCTTTCTTTCTTTCTTTCTTTCTTTCTTTCTTTCTTTCTTTCTTTCTTTCTTTCTTTCTTTCTTTTTCATTTTAAATTAAATTAATGCACTTACACCTAATGACAGATTTTAGTCGCTGTGTCAAGCGCAATACAGAGAGACACAAATGTTCAGGCACAAGCACATGATAAGTCAATAACTCCATCAGAAGAACTTCCAGGATCAATGAAGCACTGAAGTAAAAGCTCACTAATCCTTGATATAGTTCCTGTACTCACCGATGAGAAAAGCTGGCTTCGTGACCTTCATGATGGTGTTGGAGTGTCAGTGAAGCACCTGTGCGAGCGAACAGCTCCTCTTCACACTCTCTTCACCCCAGCATGACGTCACAGTGATGATGAGTAATGCTCTCAGGTGTGTGTGTGTGTGTGTGTTGAGTGTCTCTCACCTGCACTGCCGTGTGTAACGAGGGTCGGCCCTCGGGTCAGTGGCTGAGGATTTGATGTAGGATCGTATTAAAGAAATATTGAACTGTTAGGGATATATATACTAGGAATATACGAAATGGTACTATATATATATGTATATATATATATACACACACACTAAACGGCAATATATATATATATATATATATATATATATATATATATACGTATATATATATATACGTATTATGGGGGGCCAAATATATATATATATATACACTACCGTTCAAAAGTTTGGGGTCAGTGAGAATTTTATTTTTATTTTTTGGAGGAAAGAAGTCAATACTTTTATTTATCAAGGACAGTAAAGACATTTATAATGTTACAAAAGATTCTATTTCAAACAAATGCTGTTCTTTTGAACTTCCTATTCATCAAAGAATCCAAAAAAAAAAAAAAAACTGTACAACTGACAGACCAACAACTGTTTCAACATTGATAATAATAATAAATGTTTCTTGAGCATCAAATCCTCATATTTTACTGATTTGTGAAGGATCATTTGACACTGAAGACACTGACACTGGTGATGCTGAAAATTCAGCTTTGATCACAGGAATAAATTGCACTTTACTATATATTCACACAGAAAACAGCTGATTTACACTGGAATAATATTTAATACTATAACTGATTTTTGTTGTATTTTTAATCAAATAAGCGCAGCCATGGTTAGCAGAAGAGAATTCTTTTAAAAGTATTTAAAATCGTACCGACCCCAAACTTTTGAACGGTAGTGTATATATATATATATATAGTATATCCCTATATTTTGTGTGTATATATATATATATATATATATGTATACTAAACAGATACCACTAACCTTTTTCAGCATCAGTCAAGCCCAAAACGTCAAAAGTCTTGAACTTTTGCTGTAGTTTATGTAGTGTTGGGCAATATAGCAAATAGTGAAGCTGTTACCCAAACAGCAGAGTAATGTTGAAACTACAGTGTTCAATGTTCAGCTTTTTCTGTCAGCGGTTTAAAATCAGAACTAATGATGATCAAAATCAAAATTAGATCAGCTGTGCTCAACTTTGGAACAAAGACACTCTTGCTTTTGTGATATTGCTTATTCTATCTTCTAAACCTCAGATATTACTTTGTGTATTTTTAAACTTTTATTCAGACAGTATTTATTATGTTTATTAAAGGCAGGGTAGGTGATTTGTTCCTGAAACACTTTTTGTTATGCTGGTTGAAAGTCTCCTCACATCCTGATAGCAATCACAAAGTTAATTGGTCTAAATGTATTTATATGCATATATGTATATATATATATATCATCTGTGGACGGTATATGACCATACAAATGTTCAATTATTGCATTTGGTCTGATGTCCTGCACCCGTCAGCGTGTGTTTCCATTCCTCCACTAGCGCAGACATCACATGTTATCCGTCCTGAGTTAGACGTCAGTCACTGAACACCGAAACACCTTTTACAGTTCCTCCTGAACCAAAACAACCAGCTTATGCTGCGTTCACGGCATAACTACTGTAATCTGGAAGAGGGGGGAAGTTTAAAGTTTTCCTTTTTTATTTGAAAACCGTGTCGTGTAAACGCCCCCCTAAAGCTTCTTTCTAGCTATACTTTCACTACATTTACATGTATTGATTTATGCTTTTTTTATTTATTTATCCAAAGCGACTTAAAAAAGAGAAAAATCACAAGCTATTCTGTTTGCATTATTTTTAGGCAGTTATTCTAAAAAATATATAGTGGAAAAAACAGCAAAAAACTACTTTTTGTCTGAAGAACAGACTTTTGGTTTAATGTAAATAATCACTACAATGTAGTGCTTTTCTTTTTACAAGATGTAATATAAATCTTTGGTGTCTGTGAAATTTCAGCTCAAAACCCCCCAGATCATTTATTATAGCATGTCCGATTTGCCAGTATTTAGCATAGACAGTAAAAGAAATGGACACAGCGACCCCATAGACTTCAACAGAGAAAAGTGAAGTCAATTAGAAGCACTCGCTTCCTGATTGCCAAGCGCACTGCGCAGACTCACACTGAGCTGGACGACGGAGATGTGACGTGAGCAACCTGACTGACAGTTGTACGTCTTCTAGTAGCGGTGCCAAGAGGAATCTGAATCATTCCCTTCTGAATCTTGCAGAGCCGGAGATGGTGAGTATTAGCTGTCCATGAGCCAACTTTATCACTCTCTATGGGCTTCTCCCTTGACTTTATGCCTCCACGTCCCCCCGATTGAGCGTGAGCTTCTACTTCTGTCTATACGGTAATTTCTGTATTCTGCGTGTTATGATGCAATCGTTAGCCTATTTTTACAAAAACTGCTTCTACGGGGCCATAACGTAAGATACAAGGTAATGGAGCCTTTTATACATTGTCGTGTTTCTTTAGAAATAAACAATGGACAAATGGAGTCTTTAAACGCCTCAGATGTAAAGTTATTCGCTGTCAAAGTGACGCCAAAATGAATGGGAGTCAATGGAGTGCTAACAGCAGGTGAAGGCTTGCTAGCCAATGGCGGCCCCCGGGTAGACTTCAGTTTCCGGCTGATGGATTACCCCCTTGGTATTTAGGTGTGAGCAAAACGCGCCATTTTCTTGAGTGTACCTTTAAATGCAAATGAGATGCTGCTCCCCTCCCCCTTTCCTGAAGAGGGCGGAGCCTTTACAGCCTTTATAAATGGTTGTCTAGGTGCTCGTGTGGGAACTGTAGTATGATGAATACTGTAGCCAGATAATTTGGAGGTCACCGTTTCCCTTAGTGAGTCTATGGAGTACATTGGTACATCCAAAAACAGAACATTGGTATAGCGAGGATATCAACATGGCGGACTGTGTGCGGCTCACTCAGGGCGGGGTCTATGCTAATAGGGCAGATCATCAGCAGTCGTGGGCGGAGCTTGTTCTTACTGTGACATCACACTAGGGGGAAATCTGGAAAAGAGTATTTTCAAACTCTGCTTCTGATTTATGGAGAATATAAAAAAAGTGGTTGGATTTTTAACATTATATGCTGGTTGTTTACACACACTGTGGACACACATCAGTGTTAAAACAACATGTAAAAGTGAATTTCGCATAACAGGTCCCCTTTAAAATACAAAACAACATTTATTTTGCAGAAGAACACTGTTTTGGTTGTGCTTCGTCTCTGCGTGACTGCAGATGAATGTGGTTATCATAAAACATTCACTACTAGGCTCACCTTACCCTAACCCTAACCCTAACCCTGAGAGGTATAACCAATTTGGATGGAAAGGATCTCAGGCTGATAGTTTTACCCATTAATAAATGCGGTACTCCTTGAAAATAAATTCCACCACAGCGCAACAACAACCATAATGAAATGATCTTTACAATAGATGTCTCTGTTAGAGATCTATATATGGCAATTTATCTGTTAAAAAAAAAAACCTTACTTATATAACATATAAACATCTCCCAAATCTCTCAGGTCTCCATCTCTGAAAAGCCAAGCTGATGTTGATTCTTGTTTTATTACGAGCTCTGTCTCGTTCTCTTTTCTCCAGTAATCTCTCCTTTGTTATCTCACAATTCCAATTGCGAGATATAAAGTCAGAATTAAGACAAAAACATGTTTCGGAAGAAGGATTGATGACGTATTGAGTCTACCTGAGTATGTATTTAGTCTATTTTGAAGTAAAAAACAACAACAACAAAAACACTTTAATGACAAAAATGGCCAGACTGTAGGCTAACAGTGTAGTTGTAGTTGAAGACACAAGACGAAGATCCGGGTCAAACACAAACCAACAAGGGACTGACCAGGGGTGTATTCCAGAAAGCAGGTTATGTGACATACCCAGGTATGTTTAAGAGTAAGTAAGCGGATAACCTCAACTTTGGGTTCCAAAAACGGAGGTAACTTTCAGGGTATGTTAGTAGTCATAGCAACTCACTCTCTGAACTTAACCTGCTCCGGAGCAGGTTATGTTCCAGGGTTAGTTTGTTTCAGAGAGGTGACAGAGCATGGCGTCCCCTGACCATTTTAGTTACATATAGCACTACTTAATCTAACCCTACTTTATACAGTCACAATAATTTTAAATGTTTCTAATTATATAACTTTCAATTTCAGGGTTCCCAAATGTGATTGGGTGCATTGATGGAACCCACATTCACATTAAAGCTCCTTCCATCAATGAAGGAGACTATGTAAATAGGAAGTCAATGCATAGCATCAATGTGCAGGTGACAATAGATTTTTTGGATGCGAAATGTTTGGGTGTTTAAACCATTAAATCACCCTCATCACTGGTCCCCACTAACTAGGTAATATGTGGCCAAGAGGAACCCCCAGTGAACCCAGTAGACCAAAGAGATGGCAGGGTGGTACAAGACATGATTTGCCAAAATCACTTTAATTAAAACCAGTTAACAGTCAAGTGTTGTTCATTGTTTCTTTATTTCCTGTAACAAAATACATTTGTATTTATTACTTTAGATTTTATTCAACAACAAATGACAGACTAATGTTTACATACTGTTTCCCACCTTAAGCTAGTGCTCCAGCAATTCAATTTTAAGTCTGGCCTTTTTTAGGTTAAGCCTTTTCTCCTCCATTTGAAGCTGTATAAGGTCCATCTCCATGTCACTTTTTCTGATTTGCTTTTAAAGGTGGACCTTATACAGCTTTTTGGCAGGCAACTAGAAAGACTGAAAAAGTCTGTAATACAAACACAGACCAAATATTTAAATGAGGAAGGAGAACTGCAGAACATTTCTTACACTGCTAAGATTCTGTGTGGAGGTAGATGGACCCTCATCTGTATTAACATCTCCTGCCATATTCTGTAAAATGACAATTTATTTATTCTCTTGTGTAAAAAAGGGGGAATGTATTCTATGCATCATACCTCTATGGGCCTCCCCACATTTTCTGTTTCTGTCACAGCAGAAGTGGTCTCTTCATCATCATCCTACAGTGAAAATAAGGAAGGATGCTTGGTCTAGCAAACAGAAACCTAAAGACAATAATCACTTACAACTGTGACAGAGTGTGGTGTTGCAGGAGGATCCAATAATACAATGTGGCCATCAGCAACGGCAAGATAATTAAACCATGATAATCATGCATATTCAATTCTCAATGTATATTCTTAAGCAAATACAACTAATAAAGAAGGACATTAGGAGCATCTAAGTACTAGTAATAAGATTACAGTATACAGCATATGCAGTCAAAGCAGCATGCACACTGCACAAGTGAATCAATGACTGTAAAATGAATTCAAAATGCCTTTTTAAAATGGTGACAGTGTTGATGATTTTATTTATTAAAACACTGACAAAAACAGTGTAAACATCAATAAATCATAAGTATTAATATGGTACACCTACATTTTACTAAGCCACTTGTCTTGGTAGCTGAGTCTGACGAACTGCCCCCTGGAATCCCATCAACCACAGGTGGCCCTTTATTAAGGGACAGTGCCAGCTCCTCAGCTCCCTTCTTTCTATTGGCTACATAGAAAACTAAATTACATTTAATACTAAATTAGTATTAAATGTCAGTAACAAGTTTAGTAAGTTTAGAAAATATTACCTTGCTGGAGAATGTTTTTGTGTTTCATTTTGACTTGGCTCACACTTCTTCTGGCTCCAGAAGGATTACACCTGATAAAACTAGAAGCCAACATATAACTAGCCAATTATGTGCATTACTACTGTAATATTAAGAAATGTATGGAGGCCAACAAGTAAATACTTGTCTATTTTTACTACATGCCCCCAAAGAATTTTTGCGTCACAAATTATAAATGGGGTAGGCTATTTTCCCCTTTCATTGTGACTCACAAAGGGAAAATACCCCATTTATAATTTTCTAAACTCAAGCATTTAACGTTACTCTGTCCATTATTATTTGCCAAGCCAACTTTCTTTTGCTGATGCAGCAGTATTGCTTTTTTATTTTTTTTTTATTTTTTTATAATGGGCTTAGGCTATAGTCTTCATAAGCAAGCATTAAAACCTCCAACTCAGTTTCACCGAAGTATCGTATGTAGCTCGCTTTTTTTCTCCCTTGGTTTCCATGGTGACTCCTGAAATCGGCGATCCATTGAAAATGTCTTTATGTACTCGTCGTGCGCGCGCATTAACTCTGGGTTACCAATAGGAGGTTGATTAAACTAACTCAACATAGGTGTTTTGGAACCGACATACCCAGAGTAAGCAAGTTTGGGGTTAACCAACCAAGAGTTCAAGGTTTATCTGACGGTAAGTTAACCTTGCTTTCTGGAATACACCCCAGAACAGGGAGTATAAATACGCAGGAGGAAATGAGGAGACTAACTAGACACAGGTGGAGAAAGGTAAACTAATGAGGGACTAACGAGAACAGGTGCACACTAGACAGAACATTGACACAGACAGGACTCCCTGAAATACCAGCTCAAACCATCATATATTTCCATGCTAGTTAGTGCTGGCAAAACACACTCAATTACTTAGAGTTGTTATTGTTTACTTCTTTATTTTTGGATTGTGCAAACATAGACCAAAGTAATTCACATTTTCTGCCAAAAGACGTTTAAAAGTTTCACTTATGTGCAAAAAGATGATGACGAATGGTTTAGTAGTGTATTTAAGTCAAATTGAAATCTTTATCTACAAACATAATTTCAAACACATTAACACACTTAAAGTACAGTACTTATAAGTAGCAGCAAGTACACACTTTTAATAGATAACACAAGATCTCGAAGCGCACCTGAGAGACATCATACAGGAGTCCTCTGCTGCTCACCTGTTGGTTCTCGTGACGTCTGTCACACTTGAACAAAGATGCATTGTTGTGCCATTGTTACGCTTTATTACTCTGTAATCATCAGACTTTAAATAGTCAAATAAACAGTAAGAGCTCCAGGCTTCCTGATCCAACAAGCAAACACTCAGAGCAAATAATTAATGCTTGACTGTGCAAAACAGCTCCATTAGAAATAAATGTTCAAAAACAACACACATCAGAAATAAAACGGACTTATCGGCAAACACTTGTGAAATGCACACCAAAGTGAACATTTAAATTTTATTTAATTTTTTAATACCCAAGTGGGATCAAATTAGAGTAAACGGTAACATTTTACAATAAGGTATTATGCATTAGCTAAAACAAACTATCAATTAGCATTTTTTTTGCATCATTTATTAATCTTTTGTTAATGTTAGTTAATACAATTTTTTTTTTCATGTTAGTGTTTTAACTTATATTAACTTTTGATTTAAAAAATGTATAAGTAAATGTGGAAACGTACATTATTAATAAAGATTAATTCATGTTAACTAATTTAGTTAACTAACAAATGAAACCTTATTGTAAAGTGTTACCGAGAGAGAGCGAGCTGTTCCTGAAAAGATAAAAACATAATACAAAACAGCATTCTTAGAGAAACATTAAATATGTCAAACTGTATTGTTTAAACATGGAATAAAAAATAAATATACATCAATTTTGTTCAAACGTACTCGAAGTAGTTTATGCATGCAAAAATAATGTTTGTTTTCAAACCCGAATCATTTGATGCTCAAACAAACAGAGCAGTGTTTCAGCGGAGCTCGAGTGTTTGCAGAGAACTGTACACTCATGCCGCGTTCCAGGCAACCTGTAACCCGTGTTTTTCCAACCTTATACCCGTGAAAGTGCACTGGAACGGCAGTCCAACCCGTGACTTCCCACCCGTGAACTCGTACTAGATCGATGCACTCCCAGTTACGAGCTCTGACGTCACATAGCCCGTGAAACCAATCAAACCATACAAAACAACAATGACAGCCCCGGATGCAGTGTTTCTGCAGGCGGTACACGGTGAGAATACACTTTAGGACAATATAACGCTGCAGTCAAATTAAAAATAATGATTATAATAATACACACGATTATGTATTACAATGTTATGTGTCTGAAACAATAAGTATGTATATTGCGCTCAGGTACTTTGGCGTGACTGGCCTGGAACGCTACAAAGCCGTGAGTCGTGGTTTGAAGATGTGATTTACGTGCTCAAAAATCTGCCTGGAACGCAGCATCAGATTGCTTGACCATCATCTCTCTACATTAGATTGGATAGAAAAAATTATTTTAACACTGAAAATTAGGGGTGTGACGAGATCTCGTGCCACGAGATCTCGCGAGACTAAATATGACGAGATTTCTCGTCGAGTGAAAAAGCTGTCTCGCGATATCCCCATTAATATTCCACCGCTACACTCACATTCGCCTAAACTATCGTTTTGTTGTTTTTATAAAAAAATAAAAACCATTATAAACTAATGCAAAAGTCTGCTCTGCTCATCCAGCGCGAGTTGCCGTTGCAATCAGTGCAGCACGAATCACAGTTCACTGATCGCATGACGATGGCGGAGGATTCGTTGCGCAACAGACTAAAAACGTCTGGTAAATGTCTTATCATTTAGAATGCGCGCTCAGCACCGCTGCTCCCTATACGCGCGGTCACGAATTTGTAAGTGAAAGTAAAACACAAGCTCCCAAATTAGGCTGCATACATAAAATAATCCGTCTCCCAATACCCATCTCTGGACTGTTTATTTGCGGCTCTGGTCTCTGTTGGCACTGCGAATATTGAGAGAGCACTGTAACGTACAAAGGACAACAGACAAGGGAGGCTCCGTTTCTGAACTTATAATCGGAACGCAAGAACAACTGTAGAGACAAACACACCAGCCTCGTTTCTCTCGGCCTTTTCCCAACTCACCGCATTAACCCTATAACTGCCGGTGCAAAATAAAACCGCAATTTCACAACAATTATAAAGAGTCTGTGTGCTAACTTTGATTATGGTTGCACTCGCACTTATTGTTTGCACTTAATAAGACTAAGAGAAAACAGTTATTTATTTTTGTTATTTATACGGTTTTTATTTCTCTGTTACATGTGTGTTAAAAGGAGTTCAGTTAGGAGGTCACACACAGCCTCAATCAGAAGTTCTGAAAGCTCTTAAATGTACAGTAAGGTCTGAAGAGACTAATGTGAAATTATACAGGAGAAAAGCCAGTCAATAAAAACCTTTTACTTGAATATTGTTTTCTTTCAATGCATTTGATAATTCATACTCATAAAGTAGACCTGAAATGACATGCATTAGAAGATTATTAGTTAAAACATTGAAAAATGCACCTGCATACTATTTTTCCAGCCATGAATTTTGTCATTGAGGATTTCTGAAAAATTGTGCAAAAATCTCGTCTCGTCTCGTTCTCGTGAACCCAATCTCGTGTCTAGTCTCGTCTCGTGAGATAAGCGTCTCGTCACACCCCTACTGAAAATATTTTCCTCCCTTTTATCATCGTAACCTTTCAGTCTTGAGTTGAATGCAGTGTCATTGTGTTTCAGAGACATGTCATTATTTTCATCTGTGTCTGCGCGTCCATCAGCTGTGAGCTGGAAAATACGGTAACCTTTTGGCTCACAGGGTAAAAATATCAATTCCACTGAAGGTTCATGTGCCCTTACGCAATGTCATTTTCAAAAAGTGTCCATTCAATCCTTCCATCCATAAGCGTCGCAGGCCGAAACATACGGTGTTCTTCAGCCCGGCTGTCCGTGATGGCGAGTGACCCACGCTGAGCTACACAGCCTGGTCAGATATCCTGGAGATGTTGTCGAAGTTGTTGACTTGTGTAGACAGGGATTTGCGGCTGTCTGTACTGGTTCTCGCTCTGACTCTCTCCTTCGGTGTCTCGTCTCCACCGGAGCAATGGCAGATGAACGCCGCTTTAAACTCCTCTCGAAACTTACCTGCGAGAATACAGGATTTGATTTCAATTGTTAACTTGAACTAACATTGATACATTATTCTAAAGCATGTATTATCTAATGTTAATTACAGCATGCACTAGTATCTGTTAATATTATTTATGGACCTCGGCTAACATGAACTAACAATGGATAGTTGTACTTGTATTAATTAAAATGAAAAAGGGGATATATGTAAGATTTTCATGTATTAAGCACTTTTTTTATTGCCAACGTGTGAACAGCTTGTAAAGAAAATGAAAAAGCGAGATCTTCCCTGACTTCCTAGGTTGTCTATGAAAGCCTGTAGACTGACTTTTATGTGAAGGAAAATTCAAAGATGTTCACGAGCTCCCGAAAGCCTTTCTTCCCTTCAATGACACATGAAATGAATGCTTATGTTCAGGATAATGCCTAAAGAGCTTCTGTAATATCAGTGTCATGCAAAGAAAAGGGTTTAATTCAAACTATAGTCAGATCAATATAGTCTATAGTCTCAAATATGAACATATCCACGTCTCTATGATCAGATGATTTCTGAACTGATGTTTCCTCACCGCTGTCAGTTTGGTTGTGTGTGTATTTTGTTATCGAGAGGAAAGCGGAGCACATATTTACATATTCATCTAAACGTCACTTTCAGCAGCATCTGGATGTCCGTTAACAGTATCGATGAAAAGGTATTTCCAACCTCTTTTTACCTCTAAGTGAAGAATGAAAGATCTGATTAGCAATAGCGGGCCTTGAATCACACACTTAACTTAGTATGTTGCTTTTTTCTGGCAGTGCATTTTATATGCTGCTTTTTAAAAACATCAAATGCTCTTTTTAGACCTTTCAAATTCAAAATAAAATGTTAGTCCCAAGGTGACTGGTGGGATTAAACGGATTGATTTATTTTCAGTAGCTGCACTGAATCCTCTAAACTGCCCTATAATGTCAAAAGCTTCCTTGAAATGACCAGGTAATGATGTACTCCGTTATCAGAGCGGCACAAAGAGAATATTGCAATGCTAATGAATAAATAATTAGTGTGCTCGTTATGAATGAAAAGGTGCAGGATGTTTCCGGAGGGCAAACTGCATCTCAAAGCTTTGAAGTGTTGTGTGTGTTTGCAGGCAGTGAAGGGAACGACGGGTGTAATGCCTGAGTGTGACCAGCAGATGGAGGAACCCGCATACAGCGCAGTGCTTCTCATCTATACTGAATATACCTCTTATGTGACACGCCAGCTCTCTGCTAACAAGATGAGGATCTGAATCTGGTGTGTGTAAAGAAGGAAGACACTGAACATATGCAGTCTCCAGAAGCAGAAGTGCAGACCTCTGATGTAGCTGAACGTGTTGAAGACTCACCACTGAGGAAATTGTAGATGATTGGATTGGCGGCACTGTTGGCGTATATAAGCCAGTGTGAGAAGGTGAACCAGGCGTAGACCGTCTCTCTGTTGTCTGTGTTCTTGAAAGCGCCAAATACTCTGCGGATAACAGATAGACATAAACGTATGGAAGCTTGTTTACAGCACAGAATAAAAAAGGTAATTATATTTATCTCACAATTCTGACCTTTTTTCTCACAATTGCAAGTTTACATCTCACAATTCTGACTTTTTTATCTTAGAATTGAGTGATGTAAAGTTGCAATTGCGAGTTATAAAGTCAGAATTGTGAGATATAAACTCAAAATTGCACCTTTATATCTCACAAATCTGACTTTATAACACACAATTTGTCTGACACGCAAAAGTCAATCTTTTTTTCCTTAGAATTAAACTTTATAACTCGCAATTGCAAGTTTATAACTCACAATTCTGAGAAAAGATGTCAGAATTACGATATACTGTATTAACTTGCAAATGCGTGTTATAAAGCCAGAATTGCATAATATAAAGTCGCAATTGCGATTTATATCTCACAATTTTGAGATAAAAAGTTGCAAATATCATTAAAATGTTTTATTCTGTGGCGGAAAAAAGCTTCCATATGCAACTATCAAAAACAAAACATTTAGAATAAATAAAGCACATTTTTCAAATACAGTGGGAATCTCCTCTAACAATCCTTACAAAAAGCAGATTTTTAAACAGAATTTATTGAAGGTGTTTTCTTGCAGCCTTCATTTCAGCTCAACACATGCAGTCTGCAAAGCAGCTTAAACTAGTGAGGGGAAAATACTTGTCTACAAAATAAAATATTTTAACCCCACTAATTTAGCTGACTCAAAGTAGATCTGTAATAAACAAGATAGTGTGCATTATGTCATTATTGATAAACAAACACCAATTGATTGATCAGAACGCAAAGCTGAGATTGAGTTATGCGTCACTGGACAGAATGACCGGCCCAGACGTGGGAGAAGGAGCGTCCCGATGTGGGGGCACGGTCATATGCCGCATCCGGACAGAGGAAGGCCAGGGAAGGACCAGCGTTCCACGGGGGCCTGCTCTGTCAGGGGTCTGGCGACAGAGAGTGGCGAGGCTCGTAAGCGGCACGCACTGCCATCCGCGCCCTCTGGGGGCTCAAAGATGGGATGTCAGTTCTTTGGAGAAGAGGTTCTCCCCCGGCCCTCCACCGGGGGAAGGAGTGGCCCTGCAACCACTTCCTGAAAGAAATGCAACCCACGTCTGAGCTGCCCGTAACGGGAGCGCCACATCGTCTGATGATCAGCAGGCTGCGGGACTGGTACGGGCAGGGGCGCCTTCCTGCGACCACTTCCACGGCGCGGCGCGGTGCTGCTGGGGCCGGGCGGGAGGGGACGGAGGGGGCGGAAGTCGCAGGAGGGCGCATTCGGCGGCAAGCGGACTGAGGTGTCTGAGCCGGCAGCTGGCCGCGGGGTCAGAACATGTTTGGTAGCCTCAGTCTGGTTCTGGGCGGCCGAGAACCGTTGGGCAGAGTCCTCGACCGCGCCCCCGAAGAGGCCAGCCTGGGATATAGGGGAGTTGAGGAAGCGGGTTCGCTCAGCCTCGCGCATATCAACCAGGTTAAGCCAGAGATGTCTGACCACGCATGTGGACATCACCTGACCCAGGGAGCATGCAGTCACCTTCGTCGCTCGTAGAGCGAGGTCGGTGGCGGCAGGCAGCTCTTGGATGAGCCCTGAATCAGCCCTACCCTCGTGCATGTCATTGAGCACACTGAAGGATGGCAATAACATGCAGTGAGGCGGCAGCCTGCCCCGCAGCTCTATAGGTCTTTGCCACCATAGTAGACAAAAAACCTACAGGCATTGGAGGGGTGCTTAGGGTCGCCACGCCAGGTGGAGGCGCTGTGGGGACACAGATGTGTTGCCACAGAATACTCCACGGGGGGAACCCCAGTGTACCCTAGGCCGCTGCCTCTACAAGGGCAGAGAAGGCGGAAGAGGCCGCTAAGCAGTCGGGGAAAATCAAAGGCGACTCCCACGATCTCTTCATGCACGTCCGGGTAGAAAGGATTTGGGTTTACCGCCTCCCCCAAAAACCAATCATCAGCCTTAAGTGCTCGGGACATGGCAGAAGGTTTCACACAAGCCCGATACTCGCGGCGGCCCGGGAAAGCATAGCTGTCAACTCCGGATCAGACTCGTTATGCTAGCACACCCGAGAGTGGCAGCACAGACGAGACATCATCTCCAGGGGACTCCAGCTCACCTTGTGATGCGGCGATAGACATTATTTCATCAGCCGGGGAACCGAATGAGATCGCGGGCCCGCCGGCGTCCTCGAACGCGGCTCTGGTCAGCGAACTCATTCGGAACCGCGCGGGTTGCAATATGAAAGACGGGGTGTGGACCGAGGATATTTCGTCGGTTTAGTTCCAGACCTGCCGTCTTACGTCACCCTGGCCACCAGCCAAAGTAATCTCTCGCGTAGATCGGGGTGTGGATGAGGGGACTCTCGCTCTGATTGAGCTCATCGAATCTCGACCGTTACATTACGATGGTCATGTTCCCGCTGGGAGAACGTGACGTATCCACGAACGCTGTCTGAACGTGATCGAAGCCCAAACACGTCAAAACAACGCTCGTGCCCATCAGCTAAATCTGCTCGTCTAGAAGATTCTCGAAGATAGTCAGAGAATAGGCTGCAGGAGTGAAGATAACCTCTTGGCTCCTTAGCGAAGAAACATATCTGCATGTTGCGGCGTCCTTCCTTTTATACCCAGGCGGTTACGAGTTACGCCATGCAAATTCCGCAGACGCATGGCATTTCCTTGCCATTGGCTCGTTTTGTTTCTTTGGAAGATGAGAGGCTTCTAAGCGAACCCCATTTCGTCATCATTCGACGTAACGTCTCCGTTCCCTACTCAGGGAACGAGGGTTACATCCGTAACCGAGACGTTACTGCTTCATCCTTGTTTGTCACCTTGGTTACGGATTAGTGCCACCTGTGTCTAGTTTGGTTCCCTGTGTACATCCTACACTCCCTGTTTGGTTTTAGTCTCTATATCGTCTTTGTTTTAAGTTATGGTTTGCATTTGTATTCTGCTGAGATTCTCCTGAGCATTTCTTTTTTTGGATTAAAAGATTATTTATATTGAGTGACTATATGTGGTTAAGATTATATTGATTATCTGAGTGAATCGTGTTGGATTGCACCATACATCTAACAACCACATAGCAAAGCCCTGGTAAACACCCAGACAACTATTGGGTTATGATAGATAAGTACCACCTACTTTTTCTTCAATGCAAAAATCTAGTTACAATTTATTATTGTGGGTGAAATAAAGACAGTGAGACTCGAAGAGCTATATTCATTCTTTGAATTACTGCTAAAACATTACTAGAGGGAAATTCATTACAGATTCTTGGTTTGAACAGAACTACAAAGAGCCGCATAATTAACAGATATCATCTCAGCAGTCTGTCTCATGCCTTTAAAAACGGCTCACATTACTCATAACAATGTATTATACTACCATAAGGCACTTTTTGAATTTTTTTTTACAATGACAATGTTTACTGTTGAGTTAACCAAATGCCAAAAGGCATTTCTACATCCTACAGAGTTAAGTCATATGTGTATATATAGTTTATATATATATATATATATATATTATATATATACAAATTTGTTCTTCAAACACTTTCTAACCAAAGTGTAGAGGAGTGAATCTCACAAGAACATGCCTAGGACAAATTTTACCCCAAAATTAAAAGGACAAAGATAAATCCTTTGCATTAAGAAAATGAAGCCAATTTTAGGATAATACATCCATCCATTCATTTTAACATTATTTTCATGACCAACAATGACATTTATATTAAGTGTCTTTACAATGTACCAACATTTAAATTAATCATTTGATATAGTGCACTTATTGTGTACATAAATTTTTGTCATTGTACTTATTTTTAAAAGCTGCAATTGCATCTATAATTACACTCTTGACCTTTCCTTACATCTTAACCCACTCTTAAACCCTTAAACCGACCCACACCTGCCCTAACCTTACCCGCATCAGCTCAATAGCAGCACAAGTGTTTTAAAAATATTATTATTATTATTATGTAAGAATTATTAATATAATTATTTTGTTGATGTAAGGACAAAGTAAATACACCTAATATAAAGTGTGACCCAAACGATACTGTTACGAACTGGCAGGAATGAAGCAGAGAGTGAATCCAATCGCAAGCACTTTAATGATCCAACAAACGAGTAATCCAGGGTAAATACAGAGAACAAGGTACACGGAACTAGGAACCTCGCAACATCAAACAATAACCGACAGCCAACAACTGAAACACAGGGGTTTAAATACACAGACAAACAAGCTAAACAAGATAACAAGGGGGCGTGGTTAATCAGAAACACATGGGGAGACTAATCAAGAAAACGGGGAACAGCTGAACATGAAACAAGACACATGGCAGGATAACATGACAAACAGGGAATCACATGACAGACAACAACAAGGAACAAAACACAAAACCCACACCGTGACAGATACATATATTATTAGTTTTTTTAACTCATGATAGTGTGCCTTTTATATGCTGATTTAAAAATTATTTAAAAAAATGTGGATCACAGTTGAGAATAATGAGAATCACAATAAACCCTCTCAAAAAGTCATTAATTGGTATTAGAATAACATCTTGAATGGTCCTAAAAATAAGCCTGTTTTTTAACTTTGTTGCCCAGCCGTGTTCTTGAGCGCCGTAGTGAGCGTCACACACAGACACCGAGGCGTAGGCTCTTACCTCTTCATGATGTTGAGGACACTGATGGGCAGGTAACAGAGGGCGAACACAAACAGCACCACCATCAGCATGCGGGCCGTCTTCCGTCGGGCTTTCACCTGTTTGACCTCCGCTGAGACGGTGCTGGTCCTCACCTTCACCGCTTCTCCCGAGCCGCCGGCGTGAGCGGAGCACTGCAGAGACTTCCACTTCCTCTGAAGCACCGATGACGTCCCGGGAATCTGCTCAGGGATGGAAAATAACTGTCATTTTAACTGTAAAAATGCTACAGTAAAAAACTGCTACCCAGCTAACAGAAATATGTTCTAAGATTGTTTTGCTAGCATTGCAATTAAAGCCGGGTGCATACTGGCCATGAGTTGCAAATCCTAAAAGATTCCTCTGATCCTAGGCTAAAATCTGAAGTCTTTGATCGTCGCTCCCATTAATGACCGTTGCGATCAAAGTTGACCAGAACTTCTGTTCTCGCTGTCAAAAGATTTGGCTCACAGTCCTGCAGTGTGACTTCTCCTATCATGACCGTCAAATTGTCTTTGTTTTTCAAGACAAGCCAGGACCAAAATGAACATTAGAGATTTGTTTGTAGCCATGCATTTCAATCCCGTGTGTAACACAGCTCACCGTCACCGAACTGTGAACGTACGTGTCTGACATTAATGACAACTGAGATCTTACAGTGTGACGTGACTTACAGCGATGATCATGTTCGTACAGTCTGACACGCATCGTAAAGGACTATAATAAATCGGATAGTGTGATAATCACTTAAATCATGAAAACGTTATTTCCGAGTGTTCTCTGAACGGTCAAAACGACCGTTTTGAAACATGGAAACGTTTCATTTTATTTCGCAAACATTATAGAAATGTTACTTTTGATAGTTTTCTGAACATCTGAAACATTAGATAAACATCCAGTATCAAAAAAAAAATAATGTTCCATGAATATTGTTTAGGGAATGTTTTTGTGCTAAAGTTTTGAGAACATTATGAAAGGCCGGATGACCTTGAACAAGCGTTCTATTAACGTTACTGGAAGAACGTTTGTTCATAACTTTGAGAAAACCTTGACAGAACATTAGGGAAGTTCTGAGAGCGTTCCCTGTTAGCTGGGTAATTGGTTAATAATCGATTCCCTTACTGTATACGGGCGGAAAACTGGCTAACACTTTATTTTACAGGGCCATAGCTACATTTGTTACATGTATTCTGCATAATTACATCCAACTAACCCTACAACAGACCTAATCCTAACCTTATAGTAAGTCCCTGTAGTTTAATAACATTACAAATGTATAATTACACTGTAACAAGGACACCTTAAAATAAAGCGTAAACAAACAGGGCATTTCATGTGATTTTAAAGTAAAACACTGTTAAACTGTTAAAACTGTTACCAAATCCAAAACTTCCATCTCAGTTACAATGCTACTTTAGACAAGGACATTATGCAACCCACTACGCTTTCAGAATATACAGGAAAATGCTGTCATTTATAAACGGTTCAAATGCAGTTCAGCTTAACTATAATGTGTCAATAAGTCAAGAATGCTTACATACCTGTTGACACCAGAGCTTATGACAGATCTGGATGTATGCCAGGACCATCAAACATAATGGAGCAAAATACGTGACAATGAAGAAGCAGGTGTGGTACACTTTAGGGTAGATTTCATCTGCAGAAGAGAGAATCAGTTGCAGAATCAGTCAGTTGCACACGGCACTCTGTACGTAAAAGCAGGTTTATAGATAAAGTAAAGTGAGTTTTTAAGGCATTGATGGACTTTTTATCTCAGCAGGAATGCTTTATTGACCAATCAGCATCCATTATTCCTACTTATAGTTAATTGCTTCTCCTTTCTTGAACATTCTACAAATTGAATGTTGCACGACCTTATTAAACCTTTTCAAATGGATTTCTAATGGACTTGTTGTCAATATATATTTTTTTCATTTCAATATAATGTTCCTCAATTAAACCTAATTTCATCCATTGCTTAAAAAAAGTGAAAAGGCACATTCATTTCACTTTCCAAAGGCCTTCATGATGTGTTTTATGTATATGAATGTATGACTTATATTAATTCAAGTCAGAGCAAAAGAGATTTTGGGCCCTATCTTGCACTCGGTGCAAATGACTTTGTACACCGACGCATGTATCATTCCTATTTTGCACCCGCGCAAAGCGGGCTTTTCCGTCCACAGACGCACGTCGGTAAACTAGGAAATGAAGTTGCGCTCCCTGGGCGGGTCGGCGCAAAAAGGAGGCGTGTTTCGGTGCAAACTTTCCCTCATGCTATTTTGCAGTTCCAGAAAACAATTGCGCCACTGACCAGAAAAAACCTAGTCTAAAGTCAGTGGCGCGTTGCGCGTTGGTCATAATGCTATTTTAAGCGCGCATGCTTGGCCATAATGTAGCGGGTGCACAACGCGCATACACTTTGATTCTCTCAACAACACAGATGCAGCAGTTTTTATTTTTGCAAATCATACATTATAACAAGGAAAAATATTAACACATGAGGGAAATCATTGTGGTGTCCTTGAAGATGTAAAAAAAATGTAGTTTTTTTCCTCCCACGCCTGTTTAACCGACGCTGATTTGGGTGGGTTTCTCCCATCCCCATACAACGTCACTTCTCTGTCTTTCACGGTCCTGACAAGAACTCGGTCTCCTCAGCTGTGAACCGCTCCTGGCGCGCCTGGTAAATCCGCCGTTATAATAGCAATCCGCCATGCAACATGCGCTCCTGCTCTTAAAGGGAATGTGAGATGACGCTCTGATTGGTTTATTTCACATTACGCCCAAACCACACCTATGAATAATGAAGCTACTTCAGACCAACCTCTTTTAGATTTGCGCCAGGCGCAAGAGGCATTTATCCCGCCGGGAAAATAGCAACAGCGCCGGGATCCGCCCACAAAGTTACTTGCGCTTTGCGCTTTGACACTTGCGTTTCAGATCGTTAAAATAGGGCCCCATATGTTTCATGTTCCTTTGATATAAACTTGAGGCTTTCAAACTGAAAAAAAGAAGATATATATATAAGAATATATGGTAACACTTTACAATAAGGTTCATTTATTAAACATTAGTTAAATGTATTAACTAACATGAACTAACAATGAGCAATACACTTGTTACAGTATTTGTGAATCTTTGTTAATGTTAGTTAATACAAATCCAGCTGTTCATTGTTTGTTCATATTAGTTCACAGTGCATTAACTAATGTTAACAAGATTTTAATAAAGTATTAGTAAATGTTGAAATTAACATGAACAAAGATTAACAACCCCTCCTTGAACTGCCACCTTAACGTGGTGGAGGGGTTTGAGTACCCGAATGACCTTAGGAGCTATGTTGTCTGGGGCTATATGCCCCTGGTAGGGTCTCCCAAGGCAAACAGGTCCTAGGCGACGGGTCTGACTAAGAGCGGTTCAAAATCCCCCTTATGATGGACAAACATCCAAGGACCGTGACGTCGCCCGGTATGGCGCAGCCGGGGCCCTACCCTGGAGCCAGGCTCAGCCCGAAGAAGTGACGTGGGACCGCCTTCCCGTGGGCTCACCACCTGCAGGAAGAGCCGTAAGGGGCCGGTGCAGAGAGGATTGGGTGGCAGTCGAAGGCGGGGACCTCGACGACCCGATCCCTGGACACGGAAACTAGCCTTAGGGACGTGGAACATCACCTCGCTGGCGGGGAAGGAGCCTGAGATGGTGCGTAAGGTTGAGAGGTTCCGACTAGAGATAGTCGGGATCACCTCTACGCATGGCTTGGGCTCTGGAACCACACTCCTTGAGAGAGGATGGACTCTTCACCACTCTGGAGTTGCCCATGGTGAGAGGTGACGGGCTGGTGTGGGTTTGCTTATAGCCCCCCAGCTCAGCCGCCATGTGTTGGAGTTTACCCCGGTGAACGAGAGGGTCGTTTCCCTGCGCCTACGGGTCGGGGATAGGTCTCTCACTGTCGTGTGTGCCTACGGGCCAAACGGCAGTGCAGAGTACCCGGCCTTCTTGGGGTCTCTGGGAGGAGTGCTGGAAAGTGCTCCGACTGGGGACTCTGTCGTTCTACTGGGGGACTTCGAGGCGGCAATCCCTGAACCCGGTGGTGGACACCGGAAGTAAAGGATGCCGTCAAGCTGAAGCAGGAGTCCTATCGGGCCTGGTTGGCTTGTGGGACTTCTGAGGCAGCTGACAGGTACCGGCAGGCCAAGCGGACTGCAGCCCGGGTGGTTGTGGAGGCAAAAACTCGGGCCTGGGAGGAGTTCGGTGAGGCCATGGAGAAGGAATATCGGCTGGCCTCGAAGAGATTCTGGCAAACTGTCCGCCGCCTCAGGAGAGGGAAACAATGCCCTACCAACGCTGTTTACAGTGGAGGTGGGCGGCTGTTGACCTCAACTGGGGATGTCGTCGAACGGTGGAAGGAATACTTCGAGGATCTCCTCAATCCCGCCGTCATGTCTTCTATTGAGGAAGCAGAGGCTGAGGGCTCAGAGGTGGACTCGTCCATCACCCTAGCTGAGGTCACCGAGGTAGTCAAGAAACTCCTCGGTGGCAAGGCACCGGGGGTGGATGAGATCCGCCCTGAGTACCTCAAGTCTCTGGATGTTGTGAGGCTGTCTTGGCTGACACCCCTTTGCAGCATCGCGTGGCGGTCGGGGACAGTGCCTCTGGGATGGCAGACCGGGGTGGTGGTCCCTCTTTTTAAGAAGGGGGACCGGAGGGTGTGTTCCAACTACAGGGGGATCACACTTCTCAGCCTCCCTGGGAAAGTCTATGCCAGGGTACTGGAGAGGAGAATACGGCCGATAGTGGAACCTCGGATTCAGGAGGAACAGTAAGGTTTTCGTCCAGGCCGTGGAACACTGGACCAGCTCTATACTCTCTACAGGGTGCTGGGGGGTTCATGGGAGTTTGCCCAACCAGTCCACATGTGCTTTGTGGATTTGGAGAAGGCATTCGATTGTGTCCCTCGCGGTGGCCTGTGGAGGGTGCTCCGGGAGTATGGGGTCCGGGGTCCTTTGCTAAGGGCTGTCCGGTCCCTGTATGACCGAAGCAGGAGCTTGGTTCGCATTGCCGGTAGTAAGTCAGACTACTTCCCGGTGCATGTTGGACTCCGGCAGGGCTGCCCTTTGTCGCCGGTTCTGTTCATAGTTTTTATGGACAGAATTTCTAGGCGCAGCCAGGGGCCGGAGGGTGTCAGGTTTGGGGACCACGCGATTTCGTCGCTGCTTTTTGCGGATGATGTTGTCGTGTTGGCCCCTTCACACCAGGACCTTCAGCATGCACTGGGAAGGTTTGCAGCCGAGTGTGAAGCGGCTGGGATGAAAATCAGCACCTCCAAATCCGAGGCCATGGTCCTCAGTCGGAAAAGGGTGGCTTGCTCACTTCAGGTTGGTGGAGAGATCCTTCCTCAAGTGGAGGAGTTTAAGTATCTTGGGGTTTTGTTCACGAGTGAGGGAAGGATGGAACGGGAGATTGATAGACGGATCGGTGCAGCTTCTGCAGTAATGCGGTCGATGTACCGGTCTGTTGTGGTGAAGAAGGAGCTGAGCCGTAAGGCAAAGCTCTCGATTTACCGGTCAATCTACGTTCCTACTCTCACCTATGGTCTTTGGGTCATGACCGAAAGGACAAGATCCCGGATACAGGTGGCCAAAATGAGCTTTCTCCGCAGGGTGGCTGGGCGATCCCTTAGAGATAGGGTGAGAAGCTCGGTCACTCGGGAGGAGCTCAGAGTAGAGCCGCTGCTCCTCCACATCGAGAGGGGTCAGCTGAGGTGGCTCGGGCATCTGTTCCGGATGCCTCCTGGACGCCTTCCCGGGGAGGTGTTCCGGGCACGTCCCACTGGGAGGAGACCCCGGGGAAGACCTAGGACACGCTGGAGAGACTATGTCTCCCGGCTGGCCTGGGAACGCCTCGCTGTCCCCCCGGAAGAGCTGGAGGAAGTGTCCAGGGAGAGGGAAGTCTGGGCATCTCTGCTCAGACTGCTGCGCCCGCGACCCGGCCCCGGATAAGCGGAAGAAGATGGATGGATGGATGGAAAGATTAACAAATGCTAAAAAAGTATTGTTAATTCTTAGTCAGTGTTGGTCAAGTTACTTGGAAATAGTAATTAGTTACTGATTACTGATTACTTCTCCAAGAAAGTAATCCAGTTACTTTACTGATTACTTATTTTCAAAAGTAATTAGTTACTTTACTAGTTACTTTACTAAGTTACTTTTCAAAAACATGATGCACGACCTGAATGCTGTGCAACGCATTCTCATCCCAAGGCGTCACATACTGACGCTTTTGCCAAAGCGTCTACATCTGACGCACATGGCACCCTTTAGCGTCAATATAACACGCTTCGGTTATGGGTAGGTTTAGGTCTGGGGTAGTGTTAGGGTTAGACCACTAGGAGGCGCCATATATCTGCGTCTCATATTGACGCTAAAGGGTGCCATGTGCGTTGGATATAGACGCTTTGGCAAAAGCGTCAGTATATGACGCCTTGGGATGAGAACGGGCTGGAATACGCTATAAAGTAATAGACCTTTCAGCCTAATTCTATTCTTTCTGCATATTCCATCATCTAAAATGTAATCAAATGAAACACTCTCTTTTTTTAAACTTGTTTTATTAGTTTCAATATTTTAACTTTATGGACATTGCATCAAGCAAAAATTA